TCTACATATAACCTCCTCCCTGGGGGACAGACAACAGAAAAGTGGGTGAAGGGATACGTCGGACAGTGTAAGATGTGACAAAATAAGAACTTGTAAATGATCAAGGGTTCATGAGAGAAGGGGAAATGGGGAGGGAGGGGGAAAAAATGAACTGATGCCCAGGGCTCAAGTAGAAAGCAAATGTTTTTTTTTTTAATCATTTTATTGGGGGCTCATACAACTCTTAGCACAATCCATGCAAACATCCATTGTGTCAAGCACATTTGAACATTCGTTACCCTCATCATTCTCAAAACATTTGCTCTCCACTTAAGCCCCTGGCATCAGCTCCTCGTTTTTTTTCCCCTCCCTCCCCGCTCCCCACCTGCTGAGCTGCTGGTGATTTCGAACTGCTGACTTTGTGGTTAGTATCTCAACAGTGTTGATCAAATTACGGTTAGGCTTCATCTTTTTTATTTATTTATTTTTTCTTTCTTTCCTCTACCTCATCCTCACTAGAAGTGGATGATAGTGATTCACGTTATTTCCTGGGCCCAAACTTCCTGTCTGTGATCACTGCTTGTCTGAAATGCAGGCATTCCCTCTTAACATGTGTGCAGGAGATAATGTGAGCTAGCCTCAGGTACTTTTGAATGTTTCTCTAAAAAAGAATCCGGCCACACCAACACAAAGAAAGGAGCAGAGTTGGGAGCACAGAGCACCCACTGAGCCGTGGCCTCTATCAGGGGACCATGACCTTAAAACTTTGTGCTCACTTGAGAGACGATCAAGGGCCCATTGTTTATCAGGCGATTATTTGCTGGGTGAAAAGAGGAAGTGGCTGTTCAGCTGGAAACAACACTGCCATCCCTTGTCCAACATCTGCTTTCCCAGCTGAAACCACGCACTCACCCCTTGGCTATTGTGGGTGTCCCTGTCACATGACTCCATGTTGACCTGCTTGGCCCCAGCAGTCTTATAGTCGGAAGGAGCTTCAAAGAGTTCATGGGGAAATGGGATTAAAGGATAATAGCATTTTCCATGCACTTTTTGAAGCCCCCCGGTATTTGGAATATGAATATCAGCTTTCCATAAGCCTGAGCAGGGATCAGAGATTTGGAAGTTTATGCCAAACACAGACCCCTTGGGGAGTGAAGGATCATGGGTTGTCTCACTCATCTTTACCAGGCTTCATATGCTTCGCTGTCACCAGAGCAGTAGTCACTGGGGGATGCCCACCTGGAGTTCTCAGGATGGCCAGAGGTCAGCCAGACCACAAGCCTTGATGTTGTTCTAGCCATGCTACAGGGGGCTCTTAAGGACAGGACATTCTGGGAGAAAGACCAACGTGTGCGCCTTGTGGAAGGTTCACAGCCACGTCTTGTCGGGTTGCCTGGTACAGGTTGGGCAGTGGGAAAGTGGCCATCAGCAGGTAATCCACAGACTCAAGAACACAATTGTCCAGCGACTGACTAGAGGAGGGGTGCAGAGTGCTCTGGTCACGATCATCTGGGACTGTCTACTCTGTATGGAAGTAGAACGCCCCATATTTCTCCCAGAGAAGTAATCCAGGGGAGGGTAACTGGAGACAAGCGTCCCATTGCAACTGAGAAACATTTCAAATAAGCCAAATAAATCTTTGGAACGAACCTTCTAAAACCTTTTGTCAGTACCTAACCTTACAGTAGTGGTGTAGTGGTACAGCCCACTCCTTGGGATGTGATCCGCATGGTCCGCGGGTCCAAGTGTCCAGGCTCTCCAAGGGAGAAAGACTGGGCTCTACTCCCATAGAGAGTTACAGTCTCAGAAACCCACAGGGCAATTCTACCCTGACCTGTAGAGGCACTGTGAGTCCACAGCTGCAGTGAGAGTTGCAGCCTAGCTGCCCTCCCTGTTAATGTTCCTGCAAGGCCAAAACTCTGTGCTCATTGACACTGCTGAGGGTGCCAATGCTAGGGCGGTGAGTTTGATTTTTGGTTAACCGTAGAGTGGCCATTGATCTTACTGGTTTGTTTGTTTTTTAATATTTATTTCTTTATTTAATCATTTTATTGGGGGCTTGTACAACTCTTATCACAATGAAAACTAATTTTTATGGAGCGTCCGGTGTTCGGTTTCTCAGAACTCTCCATGTCCACTTGAGGGTGTTAGGCGTCCTGATGGTGTGTCCAATAGGGAACTTCTGGGTAGGAGCGGCTGGGCAGGGAGTGTAAAAAAA